GAGAGAGAGAGAGAGAGAGAGAGAGAGAGAGAGAGAGAAATGAACTTAAGCACCTTGAGATTAGAGATTATTTTTTTGGTTTTTCTTTGTATTTCTCAGGCTTAGCACAGTGGCCTGGTACATAAAAAGTGCTTAATAAATGCTTTAAAAATTAAATAAATGACTTTTTATATTTGCAGTATTAAATAATACAGTTAGGTCCAATTGGGGAAAATAAATCCTCCAAGTTGACACATTATTGGAACCCTGTATATGTTCATTCATTGGGCTGAAACCAATTATCATGTTTACATAATTAAAAATTTGAATAGTGTGAATTTGAACACATATACCCACTTCAGAGAATTCATTTTTTGACCAAAGGAGGCCTAGCTGTAACTCCTTGATAAGTCTAAAGATTTGACATCTATATGTGCACTCTTATACATTTTCAAATCCTTATCCACCCTACCCTTAGGACTTAATAATTTTCTTTCCATGATTAGATTGCACTCAATGGCAACAATATCTGTCATGCATTCTATCCAATGTCCAGGTTAGAATTATGGCAGTGCTAAAACTCATCACTCTAATAGTGTAATTAGACAGTCGCTTGATAAGCATTTATCAAACACCATTTGTACTAAGGCATTGTGCTAAGCTCTGAGAATACAAAGAAATAAGCTTTCAAGAAGCTCATAGTCTAATGGATCGGGTCATCTCCAGTCGTCCTGATCTATATCTTTCCACTGGACCCAAATGTCTCTGGAGGAAAAAGTGAGACTGGTCACTTTGTACAGCCCTCCCTCACTTAAATCCAATTCACTTGCAAGTCATGGCAACACCTTCCTGATGTCATGGTCCTCTTCCATAACGAAGAACAAGCAACAAATACACAATGAAGGCAAGTCTAATAGAGGAGACACCATGCAAACAATTATATAAAAGCAAGATATATAGAGGAAAGGTTCCCTGGATTCAATAAATGTTGTTTGAATGAAGTACTCTTCTCATTCCTTGGCTACAGTTTTGATAAGTTGATCTGATGTGGTTTTGTGGGATAAGACAGGAAAGAATAGAATATCAAAGGCTATTTAAAGACTTCAGTTTTACCAAGAAAATTTCAGAAGTTGAAAGCCTTCACACTTCCATTTCTCTTGGCATAATTACATTTTCTCTCAGATATTTTTAGAACTATTAACACTCTCTTAACATGATGTTTTTAGTGACTAAAAGACATTTTTACATCTGTAGAACTGAAAATGTCACCCAAACTTCAGTTCATTTACTATATTCTTAATTGAAGTCTACATGAGTTATGGAGATCCTCCCATTCTGACAATTATATGAGAAATGTATACTTTGCAACTTTGTAAATGCAGTAGGTTCATATATTCAGTTTTCATGGAGAATTTTTTTTTGTTGCTTGTTTTATGTTTTTCTTTGTTGTTTTCTTTTAACAAGGAAATGAGAAGCAGAGCAAAAATCTTGGAAACAGCAAATGTTGAGTTGCCTCTTACTTACCTATATCAATATTAAAATGCTAAGTGTTTATTCTGAGATGATGTTGTGTCTTGTGGAGGAAATAATCATCTGTGCTTGATATCATGTTCAAATAGGTTACTATCTCATTTCAAATCTTGCATTACATATTCATGTGTAGGGATATATGTCTTTATTATGTTTCCCTTTTTTAGGTTGACTTTGGGATGGGAAAAGTTCATTATTTGGATAAACTATTTACTATTTTTAACTTTCTACCTGGTCTACTTGGGTCCTCTGACTGTTTATAGTGGTTATTTCACTAACAGTGTTTATGAATATATTCATAGCCATAACTTGTACATAGCATACTAATAAAACACAGCTCTCAGCTGCATTCCATGTGTTGAACACATTATATCCATGGCAATCTGGCATTTACCTGGAAAGTGATGAAACTCTCCAGACTCCTGGCATAGAATAATGCATAAAGGTGTTTTACTCATTATGTTTTCATTTTAAGAATAGGCCTAATTTTGAGAACAGCAAAGTCAAGGTAGCACTTGGTTTCTGCATTATTCATTGGAGTGTTTAAGTAGGTTTTACAGACACGTTTCCTCAACCTCGCTGCATCACTGTGTCCTGAGCAGAATGAAAACTTGACATCAGTATGTGGCATGAACCAGTGAACCAAAGATTAAATTTCAAATGGACAGCCATAATGTGCATTCAAGGCCCCAAACTCTACTCATTTGTGATTTCTCCTCTTAAGTATGTTAAGTCAATTAAATTGTATTTCGTCTCTTGTAAATTCTAACATTATATAGCCTAGCTTTTTTTCTTTCATTTAGAAGAATTAGAGGCTGTGGCAAAAAAAAATATGAATTTCTTGTAATTGGGTCACTTATTTAGCATCTTACACAACATGAAACCTCATTAATTCCATTCCTATTCAAATAACTGGGGACTACTCCTGACTAAGGACCCTCTAACAGCCTTTGAGACACATTCTGGTGTTTGGTTTCCCATAATTCCAATTATAACATGAGTCTATTAGAGTTGCTTTGATTCACTCTATAATAATTGTTTATCAGCCAATCATCACTAACCTTAAAACTCCATCTTTAGGTCAATAGCTTTCTTTATTTTTTTAGCATATCATTGTTTTCCATTTATGTACATCAACAGCATCGTGTCCACTAGATATCTGTGTAGTTCTCTCCACAAAATTCTGTCTATTAAAGTATTGAATTTGCAGTCACATTTTTCTTTTAAGCATTCTGTGCTGTGTTCTGTTCAGTGTGCCTTTAGTTCTGATTTTTTCAATTTTGTCCCTCTCCTTTTCCTTGACTTGTTAGTCTGATCCAACCTCCTCTACCTCATCTGATGATTATCAGTATGTTATGGAAGCTAAACTACAAGAATTGATCTCCATACGTAGGAAGGTAGTCCTACTGGACTTTACTTTCTATTGCTAAATAGACTCCATCTGTTTTTGTTTTTGTTTTTGTTTTGTTTTGGTTTTGGTTTGGTTTGTTTTCATTTATAAATCGTTTTTAATGATTTTTTTTTAGTTATTGATAATCAACCATTGTTCAGCTCAGTGCTTCAAGGAGCTTAAAACTTTTTCCAATGGCAGGTTTCTGTTCAAATTGCACAGTCTGCATGCTACATTTGGCTGATTTCATTGCTCATAAACAACTCCAATGTTTTGCTGATGCTTGGATGTAACAGGCCTTTGTAGCTGACACATTTCAAGCGATGCTGTTCAGCTGCCTGTTTTAAACAAAGTTTCGATTTTGAAAACTAAGTTTGCAGTTGGTAGTAGCTTGCTTTATGTTTTATTTCAATTTCCTTAGATGAAATGTTGGGAAAGCGTGGCATTTCTGGCTAACCCTTCCTATTTCTTTACAGGCTGAGGAGAGGCATGGTAACATTGAAGAAAGGATGAGGCATTTGGAAGGTCAACTCGAAGAGAAGAACCAGGAGCTTCAAAGAGTATGTGAATTGCAGATCTCTTCCACTCCCTCCCACTATCTCTGGATTTAATATTCCACAGTATGCTCTTTATTGATTGTGGGCTTTAATTAAATCACATTTGGCAGGCTACATGCATCTTAATGAAAAAAAGTTCCTGACAACTTCATCAACAGAGAAGCTTAATCTACTTTGGGGACTCAGTAAAAATGTTTCAATTAACCTACCCAAATTTCAGCTTTGAATATAAACTGAGGGAAGATGGTTTTTTGTATTTAAGTTGACAGCATTTGGTGTTGTTGCTGTTTTTTTTTTCTCCCTCTGAACCAAAGGCTAGACAAAGAGAAAAAATGAATGAGGAACACAACAAAAGGTTATCAGACACTGTAGATCGACTTTTGACGGAATCCAATGAGCGTCTGCAGCTACACTTGAAAGAAAGGATGGCAGCTCTGGAGGAGAAGGTAAAACGAACTGAAAGGGCATCTGTTTATCCCACTTGAGTGATACAAATCCTGATGGTCATCAGCTCTAATATTTGTGTAGACACCAAGTAGTTCTAGTGTACTGTCCAGTAACTTCCTTCTAAGTATCTCATTGCAAAAATACTATTTGTTTGCCTTGAGTCTTTCCTTGTGCTAATCCATCCAACACCCATGGACTTTTTTAGGAGTCTGTCAAAACATCTCATTCCTGGGATCAGTAAACTTCAGTGGATCCTTATTCTCTCTCAAACAAAATAAAATTCTTGTTTGACCTTTAAAGTCCTTCAAAATGCCATTTCTTGCCTGGCTTATTATGTACAAATCCCTTTCCTGAAGTCTCTAGTCTAGCAAAACTGGCCTTCTTGCTGTCCTTCACACAGGGGACTCCATCTCCTATTTTTCTACCTCTGTACTTTATACATGTTCTCCCATGGCTGGAATGCTTCCCACTCCCCTCTCTGCCTTCACCATTCTGGAATCTCTTACTTTCCTGAGAACTTAGCTTGCATACCATCTTCCTACTGCCCTACCTTCAGCTGCTAGTGCCCTTTCTCCCGCTATGTTCTTTCTGTCTATCATCATATAGCCCTCCCTCTGGGATTTCTTCTTCAGGTCCAGTCCCTAAGCCATTATGATGGATGATCCCCAGAGGAAGCTGACTACTATTTCTAGGGATGAACATTACTAGTATTGTCACTTACAAGCCCCTATGGGCAATCAGCCCTTCTGAATTAGCTTTTTTACTAAAGGTATTAACCAAGATGATGTAGCTCCTATCCCACATTGGTGGTTTATCCCCAGAGGTGGCTGACGACTACTCCCAGGGTTCCAGGGGATGAGCATTACTAGTACTGTCACTCACAAGCCCCTATTGGCAATCAGCCCTTCTGAATTAGCTTTTTACTACAGGTATTAACCAAGTTGGTGTAACAAGAATAATGATGCAAAATATTCCTTCCAAAGCACAGGGAGGGAGTGGGAAGAGTAATACCAACAAATAAATAAATAAATATATATATATATACAATATATATATATTATATATATATAATATATATGTGTGTGTATATAATATACATATATGTATATGTGTGTGTATATATATATAGTACATATATAGGTCCTTGGGAAGAGTGGTCTAAAACTTAGAGTACAGTGATAATGAGGCACATGTGAAGATTATACAGGATGTCTCAGAAGTCTTAGGACAGTTTTAAGCTGTAGCTTAAAGACTTCTGGGACACCCTCAGTATGTGGCAAAGGGGTAACTTGGTACAACTGGTATTTTATTGCCTGGGAGTTCTTTTGTGGGGGGTAATAGCCAGCTTTCTTTTCTGGTATCAGAGGGAGCATCCTTTCTGAAGCTGCCTTCCTCCGTGGGTTAAAAGAAACTACATCTGTTGTTCCGCAGTGTATCATTCTGATTTTGACTAGATGTGTTACTTCCTACTGGTATAATATGTATAATCATATGCATGGTTGGTATGTAGGAGATTCCCTCTCAGGGAACAAGTACCTAAACCCAGAGTAACCAAAACAGGAGTGGGGAGGGGGTGGAAAGGGAGGGAAATGAGGGGTAGAGGAAGAGAGAGAGGGAGATAGATATATCTGTTTACATACATGTATATAGATAAGCCCAGGTTGAAAAACCATCTTGACAATTCTGCCTAACCACTTCTTAAAACTTGAGCTTGGGCACCCACCCCACTTTGCAATAGTCAAATACACCAATAAAAATTTTTTTTGATTGAAAATGTCTTTTGGCAGTTAAAAATTTTAGTATCATCTAGAAGAGGTGATACAGTGAACATTGGCTCCAGAGTCAGAAAACTCCAGACTTTAAATTCTACTTCTTATACTTCTACCCATCTGATCTTGGGCATGTTACATTAACTCCTTGTGCCTCAGTTTCCTCATCTTTACATTGAAGGGGGTTGGACTAGATGTACTCTTAAGTCCCATGTAATCCAGGCCTTCTGATCTGTATATTTGTCAACCTCCACCACTCCCAAAGGTAATTTGCTTTGCCCATATGTAAATGTGGTCAATAAATTTGTCACTTAAGTAATTCCACTCTTTCCCTCTGCTGTTCTTGAAAATTAATTTTTAAAAGAAATTTGAATTATTTGTGGTAATTATAGTAATAGTAGTAGTAATAATAGTAGCAGCAGCAGCAGCTAACATTTATGTAACATTTACTATGTGCCAGGCACTGTGTTATGTATTTCATAATTTTTTTCTCATTTGAACCTTACAACCATGGAAGATAGGTGCTATTATTATCCCCATTCTACAGATGAGGAAACTGAGGCACAGAGGGTTTAAATGATTTGTCTAAGGTCACACAGCTGGTAAGTGTCTGAAGTAGGATTTGAACTCATATTCCTGACTCCAGGTCTACTGCTTTATCTACTGTGCCACCAACTGCATTGGTGGTTTGGAAAAGGGATAGTGCTCACTTTCAATCCTAGCCATTCCTTTATCCCAGAGATGCATATGATATTCTACAGTGCAACTTATTTCTATCATTGTATAAGTTCTGCTTGAATAAAGAGCTCATATTTTCACAAGATACTTCTGCAAATGTAAAAGGTTTTGTTCATGTAGTGACTGAAAAACAAGCCTAGAAGCCAAAAAGGCCTGGTTTCAGTTCCTCCCAAATAACATATGCTATGTTTGTGACCCTGAGCAACTCACATAACATATCAGTACCTTGGGCAATTCAGTAGCACTAAAAGTTAGAGGAAAAAAGTGCCATCTTGGATGGATAAAGAAAGTTTTTAGTTCACTATTTGAAAGAAATCATGGGTCTAGTCTCTCTCTCTCTCTCTCTCTCTCTCTCTCTCTCTCTCTCTCTCTCTGTCTTTCTCTCTGTCTTTCTGTCATCTGTCTACCTATCTTTATATTATCTCTACCTGTCTGTTTCTAATTTTTGTATTGTATACATGCACATACGTATACATATATATATATATTTAATTTTAATAGAAATTTGGCAATTAAGATTAGCCAGGGAATAGAAATCCTATTAGAAAATCATCATCTGATGATTTCTCATTTCCTGAGGTATCTAACATGTATTCACTAGAAACACATTTTTATGGGAAAGTTAAGTGAATAGACACAAATGCTTCTTTCTTCTTGTTGTTGGCCCTCTTAAAATGTAAAAGAGACATATTTATTTCCCCTCAAACGTGTGGTCTACATGAAACAAACAGAAAATGATTAACACCTTAAAAAATATGTTTGCATTCTGTTCTCTCTCTCTGAATTTTACAAGCTAAGCCACCACGGTTTCAATTTTACATTTCCCAAAATGTGAAGATAACTGTTTTAAGGAATCTATGTTTATGAAGAAAACTGTGAGTTAATATACTAACAATGGACATTTGCTTTTCATACATATTGTTTTTATGTTGTTCAATTGATGTCACATCTGTTTTTTCCCCTAGAATGTTTTAATTCAAGAATCTGAAAGTTTCAGAAAGAATCTTGAAGAATCTTTGCATGATAAGGTAGTATGGAAAAGTTTACATTTTTTCACCTATATAACAATCATGTGTTTTTTTAATATTGTTAATATGTAATAAATTGAGTGAACTCGTAGTATCAGTACCAGCAAACATCTATTGAGCGCTTGATATATCGAAGACATTGTAACTAAAAAAGACTATAGTGAGGTGTAATACCTAAACCCTGTCTTCCCTCAAGAAATATGCACTATAGTTGGGAATACAGAATATATACATATAGCAATCCAAGCTAATATATATTATGCATATAGTAGGTGCTTAAAAATGTTTGTCGTTTGATTGATGGACTATGCCAAAAGCCTTATCTAGTCAATAAAGACTATATTGTGAATTCAGCGGTGGGAGACATTAGTATGGGTTAAATAAAATTGAGGAAGGCTTGAGAGACAAGAAGATTTGGCTCAGGCTTTCAAGGAAAGAGAAAACGTTTAGATACATGGAGAAAAGGAAAGGGACATGGAAGTTTTGAACCTGTTAGAGAGACAATGTTGATACCATTGAAAAATATAGAGAAGTCCAGAAGAACCTATAATTAAGATAATGTAACAAAAGTCATTGTGGATTACCATAACCAAAGGAATTCATCTTTTTTTCGGTCAAATTGTGATAATAAATTTCAAATTGCTCCACTAGGCTGGTCCTCAGACAACAGATGTAATCTGCCTTCCCAATGAGGTTGAAATTTTCAGAGCTCATGCTCTAATTTCGTAGCCTTAAGGGCCTTCCATGCCCATGGGTAAAAGTGACTCACGTGACTTAGATCCTGCTCTCATGGAGCTTACAATCAAATGACTTATTCCATAAAGAAGTACAAAGCTACCAAAGATAAAAGGGAGGAGAGTCATTACAAGGTATTTCTGCACCAGAGGCAAAATCATCAAAGTTGATGGGAAGAGAGAAACCCTCCGGGTCATTGCTGAGATACCCAGCTCACAGCATCATTGGTGTCCTAAGTAATTGCTGTCACTGATGTCTTGTATTGCATTGCTGAGATTAGGACATCAGTGACAACAATTACTTAGGACACCTAGTATCAATGATGCTATGTGCCAGGTATCTCTCAGCAGTGACAGTTTTTATCACCCTGCTTACATTCTGGTGTGCTTGAACAACAGTAGTGAAATCAGGGCCTTGGAAGAAGGCTGTGATAACAATGGGACCCTCAGGGGTGGGAATCTTGGGCTGAGTAAAGGATGGGAATGGGGGGGGATAATTATGCCAAGTGGCATGTGCCCAGTGGATGTCTACTATAAGGAAAACACACAACCCCTTTTCCTTGTGGACCCAGGCACAAAACTCTAGTTGTGCGTGATACTAGGGATAATTCTGCAATGTTGTATATAAGTTAAAAATGAAAAGACATGAGAAACTTGACGAAAGAAGACACCACTTTTAGCTGGAGAGGGAGCAGTTGGAGACACTTTTTGTCTGTGTGCCTTCCTACTTATAAAAATTAATTCTCATTATTGAACTGCCATGCCTCACAATATGCCTGCCAAATGTCTATTTTCAGGAATAATGAAGCAGGAATTTGAATTATTAATTTTCAGATTGATATTATGGAATGTATATAGTATCTGAGTAATGTTTCTTTGGTTTTTAGGAAAGATTAGCAGAAGAAATTGAAAAGCTGAGGTCAGAACTAGACCAATTGAAAATGAGAACTGGCTCTTTGATTGAACCCACAATATCAAGGTAATTTTTAATTAAAAGCTGATCTAGTTTATTTCAAATGAGCATCAAGATTTTTCTTATGGCTATATATTGCTGGCTTGCTGCTGTCTCCCCAAACTACAAGCACCAAAATGTTGAGTTGATAAATTGTTATTCTGCCACAGTTTAATCCTGTTTATACCTGTTATATTCAACATAGAAATAAAACTTTTACATTTTAAAGCATATTAGTTAAAAAAAATTTCCCTAGACAAAATAGCATCCAGCTCTGTACTGCTCTACTTCTTTAGAGAAATGATAATAAAATGTTTGGATTCCAATTTTTTTTATTTATCATAGCATGAATTATTGTTATTTCTTGTCTTATCTAAAACAACATATCTTTGGCTAAAACATAAGCATAATTTCCTCAATGGCTTATGTTAAGATTTACATTACTCAGAAGTATACTGTTTTGAAAACTGATATTGTTTCACAGAGAGTAAGCACCCCAAAGGTCAACTGTTTGGCGAAGCCTTTCTTCATCTTTTCTACAAACATTCCTGGTACTTTGAACCTCTTTGATGAGAACTATTACATGCAAAATAACTGACATATTCCTTTCTTAATAATTGTATTTCACTATAATTGGCTCTTTTGCCATCCTCTGTATTATATTGTATGCATTTAAAACATTATTCTGCAAGTCTATAGGTTTCGCCAGGTTGTGACCAAGAACAGTTGTTTTTTTTTAAATGACTTTCAGTACATAATTAACTGATCAGTCTCAAAGGATCAATACTCACAAGGATCTGTGATATCATTGATTTGCAAGCTTCCTGCATAATGAAGATTGAAATCCATCCATACCAATGTGACATCCTGGGATCCTTAACTGGGTGTTTCCCTAAGTTTACCATGGGAAGCCCATCCACTGTGCTTACGGCTTCCTGTATTCTCCTCTGGCATTGTGAAGGCACTAGGGGAGCGCTCTGGCTCTCTCCTTTCATTTTCATCATGTGATCAGCCCATATTCACTTCCTTGATGGTATTTTTATTTGTTTTTCTTTAGTTACTCATTGGTTATATATTGTGCCCTGTTCATCCTTACTATGCAACCCTTCCTTCCCATTCATAATGTCAAGCGAAGAGCCAATGAAATAGTGTCTTTATCTTTGGCCATATGATCATATACACTCTACCTCTCCTGGATTGTAAAAGCCCTCCCTCCATTTAGGTGCAACTTAACTCTTTCCTTAAATATTTCCTATTTATAAGAAGAATTTCAAGATTAATATGATTCAGCTTCTCCTTCAGTATGCCTTCTTTTTAGTTATTGGACAAAAATCTCTTATTTAGAATCAAATTAAAGTTTATTTATGTGATTCTTAGTCTCTTTTCCCTCTTTCCCACCACCATTGCAAAATTGAAAGTCTACACACTTTGTTTTTTGTCTTGTGGATTACCCTACCTAGAAAAAGAAATTTATGCATTATGAGATGGTGATATGCTTCTCCATAATGAGCTACATTGGTTCTTGGAAAAACAGATTTAATTTGTTACTGATGCCATACAGAAAGCATTTCTTGCATTGTGGAAGTTTCCACTGTATATGTTTTGTTGGTATAACCTTTGAGAAATTGTTGCCACTTTTTGTAACAGTTAGGCTTTAGGACAGAACTTTGTAGAGGAGAGCCAGTCAACCAATAAGCATTTATTAAGTACCTACTATGTTCTAGATATTGTTCTAGGTGAAACTATCCCTACCCTCCTTCAACTTTTATAATTTAATGAGGTAACACCATGTAAGAATACACATAATAAATATACAGGGTAATTTTGTAGTAGAGACAGGAGGGGAATCCAAAAAGTTTTCATGAGTTTGTAAGGCTGAGTTAGTAAGGAAGTTGAGCTTTGAAAGAAATGAGGGATTCTTGAAGGCAGAAAGAGAGATTATATTCCTGAAACAAGGTTACTGCCTGGACAAAGCTACAGAGAGATGGGAGATGAAATTGATATTGTGTGATGAACAAAAGGAGGGTTGTTTGTGTAGACACAGAGTACAGGAAGGGGAAGAATGCGTAATGAAGACAGAAAAGTGAATTGGAAGGTCAGTTGTGCTAAAGGTCAAACAGAAATTCAAACTTGATCCTGGAGCTAAAAGAGAGACATTGGAATTTATTGAATACAGGAGTGACATGGATAAGCCTGTACTTTTAGAATACCACTTTAGCAGTTGTGGCTTGGAGAAGGGAGAGACTCAAGGTAAGGAGACCAATTTGGAAGCTTTTGTAGAATTCTGGACAGGAAGAAATGGAGGTCGGAACTAGGGTGGTGGCTCCATAAGTAGTACCGAGGGGAGAGATGTGAAAGATGTCATGAAGATAAAATTGACAGTAGTTGGCCATTCATTAGATAAGTGGCCCAGGGGAGAATGACAAACTGGAGATGACTCTGAGGTTAAAAATCTGGGTGACTTTTCAGTCATCTCAACAGAAACAAGGCAGTTTGGAAATATGGGAGTGTTTGGTAGAAAAGATAACAAATGATAACATGTTGGATTTAAATGGTTATAAGACTTGTAATTCAAAATGTCCTCTAGGCAGTTAATGATGAACTTGGGATAGCGAATGGTCCTGGATCTATAGACCTGGGAGTCATTTGCATAGACATGATAATTAAACCTGTGGAAGGTGATAAGGTGAGTGAGTGAAGGCAGAGAAATAAGAGGACAGGGCCCATGAAAAAGACTTGGGGGACACAGATAGTGGAGGTGGTGAAGAATATGAAGAGACAGCAAAGGAACCAGAGAAGAATTGTGAAGACAGGGAGGAGGAGACCCAAGAGAGTAGCATCTTGAAAACCCAACAGAGAGATGGTGGGAGTAGGAAGAAAGATTACTCGTTGTTTTTGGACATTTTTGAGTTTAAGATGCCTTGAGGTCTTTTTCTAAATAAAAAATGTTAAAGAAAATTATTATTTGGGATCATGGAATCTTAGATTTATAGTTGGAAGGAAATTCAGGTGCCATTAAGTCCAAACTAAGACTTAGCAAGGTTAAGTGATTTGCCCGGGGTCATTCAGCTTGTAATTGGTAGAGGCTGGATTTGAACCCAGGTCCTCCTGACTCCAAACCTAGCACCCCATATGCTACATCACACCCTCAATGACAACAATGAAAAGAATGTTAGTGGCATAAATTATTTTAAAAGTAAAGATTTCTAATATGTGTTGCAACTCTCTTCCCCTTACTACAGTATAAAATGTAAAGCAAAAAGCAAAGGTGACTTTGAAGTAAGTCGTCATCATTGTGCGTGCTGTACTGTTACTATGTAAATATCATCTTCTTCATCACAGTATTCATTTGTATGTTTCACGCTCCTGTCGAATTTCATCCTCCATCCCAACTTCAGAACCATTTGAAGGAATCCAGAAAGCAATAATCAGAGAAGCAAATAAAATAGAGTTCAAGAACAGTTTTTAGCCTAGACTACCATTTCTCTAGTGGGGCAGCTAGGTGGTTCAGTGGATGGAGCACTAAGCCTGGAGTCAGAAAGATATAAGTTTAACAGCTTCAGACACTTACTAGTTATGTGACCCTACACAAGTCACTTCACTCTGTTTGCCTCATTTTCCTCATCTATAAAATGAACTGGAGCGGGAAATAGCAAACCATTCTAGATTCTCTGCCAAGAAAACTCCAAATGGGGTCACTAAGAGTCTGACATGACTAAAATCACTCAACAACAACAACATTCTTACAACTACCTGTCAAAATAATAACATAATAAATATATAATATTTAATGATATTATATATGTTATATATATAATATATAATATACTAATATATAATATAAATAGTAAATATATAATAAATAAGGCTATTTTTTGACATTCTTTCTAAAAAGAAATTGTGTGTTTACTGACAAACTAAGACAAATATTGAGAGATACAGTTCAAGTTTGAATATTCAGATGTTTATATAAACCAATGATAGGAGTGAAAAGTCATTGTGTTTAGTCATTTTTTCTTCACTGTTTTTGGGGGGAGGGGGAAACAAAAACTTCCACCATGTATAAACATTACCAGAGAGTAGCAGAATTTCTTCACCTGTATTCCTGTGAATGAGGACTCTGCTGAGTGAAGAGTACATACATGACCAGTAAAAGCTTTCCAGGATATTGGTTGCCATGTTATATTGCAGATTGTAGAGTAAATCAATGTGGTCTTCTTAATGGGTAGGTTCAATTTGGAATTAGGCCACAGCTTCAAGGCCCATAATCAGCTTTGATGATCAAAGCAGCCAAACCTTCCTCTGTTTGGGCTCTCTTCTTATCAGGAAACTAAAAGAAAAGATTAAAAGAGGAAAACCAATCCCATTTTATTTTTCAGAATAGAAAATGATGATTTTGAACCATGCAGCAAACCTTTTAAAGAAGACCCATGTAAAGCTGATTGTAAACTTTTCTTAGCTGTCTCAAGTGAATAGGCTTAATGTGTGTGTGTGTGTGTGTGTGTGTGTGTGTGTGTGTGTATTTTTTAAAAGTGGGATACACTAGTTTCCTTTGACTTGGAAAGTGAATATATATATATATATATATGTATTTATATAACAAGGGCTATTTCAGATACACTGAGGGTGACCAGATGCGATTTTCAATTCACTTACAGCTAATATTAGAAAAGATTATTTTGACCACAGAAAATTTTTAGCACTTTTTTCCCACCATTTTCTGGTCCTATTGAAATCTAACAATGAAAATGAGGGAGCTCTGAGCAGCTTAAATTAAATATGAATAAAACTAATGAATAGAAAAAAGCAACTTGGAGTTTCTCATGAGCCATTTCAATGACTTATTTGGCTTATGTGGGAAAGAGCCTTCTTTAGAAATAGCCTTCTGTTTCAATAACATCCAGGTTTATGTCTAAATCTGTATCTTAATGATGATAATAGCTAGCATTTATATAGGGCTCTGAGGTTTGCAAACAGCTTTACATGCTATCTCATTTGATCTTCATAACAACCCTGTCAAGGAAGTGCTATTATTATCTTCCTTATTTTACTGTTGGGGAGACTGAGGTGGAAAGAGGCAAAATTAATTTGCCCAGGTCAACACAGTTAATAAGTATCTGAGGCAGTATTTGAACTCAGATCTTCCTGATTCCAAGTCCAGTAGTCTATCCAGCTTCAGAATGGTATTATTCAATAAATGAAACAATCATGTAATAAACATATGCTGTGGTCAAGGCAGTGAGGCAGTACATTGTGTTCAATGTAAGTAGCCAGTCTCCTTGTCAGAAAGACGTGGGTTCAAGATCCTTTTCAAATACATCCTGACTGGGACACTCTAGTCAAGTCACTTAATCTCTTAGTGCCTATGCAGCTTTCTAACACTAAAAGTTATGGGGAGGAGGGGTATGTAATGATAGAGGGAGGTTTCTAATTGGGAATCCCTATAATAATGAAAACACAGGTCTGAAATAAAAGAAAAAAAAAGGAACTGAGCTAGACACTAGAGATGCATAAACATGCAATCACCCATGTCCCCAGGGAGCTTATTGAGAGAAATAGAATGTATCTGAATGAGGCTTCAGTTCCTCATCTATGAAATTAGGGGGCTGAGTAAGATCATAATATTTCAAAGGGACCTTGGAAGCCAGCAAAACCAATCCCCTTACTTTCCAAATGGGGAGACTGTGGACAGAGACTTTGAAAACACTTTCTGTGATCTTTGACAAACAAATATATACAAATGATTTCAAAAAGGAGTGAACACTGGTAATTTGAGGGGATCAAGATAGAATTCCTCTATAAGGGTTATTATCCTTAGTCTTTTAACTTACTTTTCAGATATGTTGATAGCAGTATTTCGATATAATTTGTTTCCTTTGTAATACTATGTGTTTTTGTTTTATGCATTTAAAAGTATTATCCTGAGAAGAGCTATCAAATAGCCCAGGCATTTATGACATGACAGAAATTAAGAATCCCTCCCAGGAGTCTTGAATGAAATTAACTATTCTAAGATTCAGAAGGGTGAGGAGAGAGTGCATTCCAGGAATGGGCACAGCCTTTGAGAAAGTCAGAGATATGTATAAATCATATTAAAACAATATTCTTATCCAAAGGAAGCCATTATCATTGCATTATGCTTATGTGGTGAATGTTTTTAATCACAACAAGCTAATAAATATATGACTGTTGATAATGGCTTCTGGTTATTATGTTTGTTATCTGTGTGATGTGGCCAAGTCACTTAACCTCCCTTATCCTCAGTTTATTCATCTATACAATGATAAGGTTTTATTAGATGGCCTCTGAGGACCCTTCCTGCTCTACATCTGTTGATCCTATGAAAATGATGACCATTTGGGGCTTTCAGTATTAACGATCTGTGCTTGTATTAATGTACAGGCTCCATCCTCCAACACAAGTAGTCACCTGTACATACCTCAACCCTTGGGGTTTCCCTTCATATTTTTCCCAAAAAAATCCAACAAACAATTAGGCATAATATCCTATAGAAAGGTGAGTTTCCTTTTTAGTAGGTTTGAAATAAAAAAAATATTTTAATATAAATTTATTCAGAAATACCTTTGGTTTAAACAAGCTTTTCCTTAATTTAGTGATCAAGTAAATATAATCATTTAATTAATATTTATTTATTTATTTATATTTATTTTAATTAATATTTATAATTATTTTAATTACTCTTCAGAGTAAGAACTCTCTTTTGTTCTGGTTTACATTTTCATTCTCAAATCCAAGAGATCAAATGTATTTTATTTGATGGTTAAATGACTACTTGTACAGAAAGTATTCCCTGGGAATATATTTGTTACTGGTAGAATCTGCAGTTATCTTCAAAAAGGCAGCATTGCAAAATGGATTTAATACTGGTATTGGCATCAGTTGATGTGGTTTCAAATCCCTACTCCAACATTTACTAGTTGGCTATGTTGGGTGAGTCATTTTACCTTTCTGATGAAAATAAGATTATTTTTGCTGTCTACTGTGGTGAGGAAAAGAGTCCATGAGTTATAATAATATTTTAAATCATTAAACCTATCAGAATCAATCTTAAGCCCCACCACTGGGTTTACTCTCTTCAGGTAATGTCCAACGTACTAGACAGTCCTAAATAAACTGTTTAATTCAATGAAATAGTAATTTACTAAATGGTATCAGGGAGGCAGGGAGGCAGGTATCAGGTGGCACAGTAGATAGAGTGCCAGTCCTGGAGTCAAGAACACATCTTCCTGACTTCAAATCTGGCCTCAGATACTTACTAGTTACGTGACCCCAGGCAAGTCACTTAACCCTTTTTGCCTCAGTTTCCTCATCTGTAAAGTGACCTGCAGAAGTCAATGATAAATCACTCTAGTATCTTTGTCAAGAAAACCCCAGTCGGGGTCATAAAGAGTCAGACAGCCAAAAACAACCACAACCAAGGTGGCACAAAGTACTTAATTCTGCTTTTGCAAATGTCTAATTTATTCCCATGGAAGCTAAAACACTATTGACCTACTGTTCAATGATGGTCAGTGATTCGCTATTTGAATTTTATTTGACATTTGAATTCACTTCATGGGTAACTGATGCTTTCTTCCTCCTCTCAGGACACACTTGGATACCTCAACAGAGCTTCGGTATTCTGTGGGTTCACTTGTGGACAGCCAGTCTGACTACAGGTCAACTAAGGTCATAAGGAGACCCAGGAGAGGCCGTATGGGAGTCCGAAGAGATGAACCAAAGGTTAATCTTTATACTTTTCAGCAATTTCTTTATAATTACTATATTCTGTTTCATTACTATTCTTAGAACTGAAAACATTAAATTTCATTGGACATCATCATTGGTGTCATGTGTGATACAGAAGAATAGTGTTGTAGATATGGAGTTGAAAGAAACTATTACTCTAGTCGGAGGACTGTAGCTCCATATTTACAAATTAGAGGCTGTCATGTTCAGCCTCCTTATTTGACAGAGGAGGAAGGTGAAGCAACAGAATTTAAGTGATTTATCTAGGGCCACACAACTACTAAGTGTCTAAGTAGGACTGGATGCCAGGTCTTCCAGACTCCAAGTCAAGTAACCTATCTACTACACCATCCTTCTTTCCAAAGTGCTGAGTATATATCTTGGCAGCATCCCTTAGAAGCTGTGTGACCTAGGGCAGGGGTGGGGAACCTGAGGCATCAAGACCACGTGTGGCTCTCTAGGTCCTCAAGTATGGCCCTTTGACTGAATCCATACTTCACAGAACAAATCTCCTTAATAAAAGGATTTGTTCTATAAAACTTGGACTCAGGGGGCAGCTAGGTGGTGCAGTGGGTAGAGCACCAGCCATGGAGTCAGGAGGACCTGAGTTAAAATCTGGCCTCGGACACAGAACACTTCCTAGCTTAACCCCAATTGCAAAAAAAAAGAAAGAAAGAAAAGAAAAAAAAAAGAAAACTTGGACTCAGTCAAAAAGCCACACCCAAGGACCTAGAAGGACACATATGGCCTCACCACCCCAGGTTCCCTACCCCTGACTTAGGGTAAGTCATTGCACCTCCTTTCTTGTCAACGTTCTCAGGTACAAAATACAGAGGCTGAACTCAGTGGCCTTGAAGGTCCCATTCTTTTCCAATATCATATGATTCTTAGATTTGTCAGAAGGAAACCTGGTATGATGGATAGAAAACTAGACTCCAAACCTTCTGAAGACTGGAGTTCATGTTCTGCCCCAATATTTACAACCTGAGTGACCCTGAACAAGTCCCTTAACTTCTTTGTATTCTAGGCCAGAGGTGTCAAACACGTGGCACAAAATACTCTGGAGTGCTACCCAAGCCAGAGTAAAATGTAATTGGGAAATATTTAACAGAACAAATAAAATAAAGTAAAACATAAATAACATTATATTTTGAAACTGAATCAATATGTAGCCCCTTATGCATGGATCTGTGACCCCATTTCCATTGGAGTTTGACATCACTACTCCAGACAGCTCCCCAAAACTGTAAGTTGCAGAAGACCTTCTAGCCTGCTTGGGTAATAAGTGAGTCCTCCTCCCCTGGAGTCCTCCATACCATGAAATCACAGGTCTAGACTGCAGCTCTATTCCCACTATTTTATAATAGAAGAATGTCATTCAATGTATATGTATATAAATAATATTTTGGAGGAAATTGTGAAATCATTAACTATTGTCAATTTGACCAGAACTCCTGAGTGTGTATGTGTTAGATTATACTGCTACTATAATTATCTACTCCATTCAATATTACAGCTCATACATTGTGAGCTTTTCCAATATATATAGAGCAATATTCCATAAGACTTTACGTATTAATCAGGAACCAAGAAATCAGAAAGAAAATGCAATATGAAAGCAACTATCCTTCCTGAAACCAGCAGCACACTGTTTTGACACCAAAGGCTAAGATTTTAGAAAAGGGTATGGGAATTTCTCCTATGAATAAGGTCGTTTTTTTTTTTTAAATGAGCTGGCTAAAATTTAGTTGTTCTATTCCCATTTTAAGCACAAGGACTCATCTATAAAAGGATTAAGGGACAGCAGCAAATCTGGGATTAGAAGTGACTGCTCTGGTGTCCCTATTTGGATGCTGAGTGGTCTTATCCATACAACAGACCTAGTCTAGGAAATTAAGTTACCTTAGCCAGACAAATAAGTGTGCTATAGACTTAAGCAAATTAACAAGGGCAGGCTAGGAAAATCACAGAAGGAACAACAGCTAAAAAAAAAATGAATCTGCTCTGTCCCTCTTGTATTGAAGTTTTCAGTCTCTCTTTTATTCAATGCTGGCTCAATTCTAAATTGTACTAGAAATCATAAGAAAAAACAAAGTTTGCAATTTTCATTTATATTAAACAAGTGGGATATAAATCTTGATAATGTTGCTAATCCCATGTCAAAGGAATGACCTTCATTGTCTCATTCTTCATTAGAACTTAAACTTCTACCATTTTCTTTCTCTTTTCCCCAAATTGTTTACAAAATCCTATTTCTCTGTGAAGTGGAAAAAAAATGCCCAGTATTTTTGATGATGGTTTATATGGACTGTAAGTTGTTTGGCTTGCTATTTAGGTGAAATCACTTGGGGACCACGAGTGGAACAGAACTCAGCAAATTGGAGTGCTGAGTAGCCACCATTTTGAAAGTGACACTGAAATGTCTGATATTGATGATGATGACAGAGAAACTATTTTTAGCTCAATGGACCTTCTATCCCCAAGTGGCCATTCTGATGCCCAGACTCTAGCCATGATGCTTCAAGAGCAATTAGATGCAATCAATAAAGAAATCAGGTAAGTACTGACTTCTATTCATTTTGGTTTAGGCTATCTTCTAGATTAGAGATATCAAGCCTGATCCTGAATGGGGTTTCACCTAGTAAGTCTCTATCCTGGACTATATATTTTGGAATATTTAGAAGAAAGATGGAGCCTTTACTTAGAATAAAGATTTCTTCACTTGCACCTTTCTTATGTCAATAAATTTAATGTCAATAAAAATCTCAAATAAGTACCTCATTAGAAATTGAATAGCTTTATTTCTTAATGTTTCTTTAAACAGAAATGTGATATACTAGAAAGCATCATGGGACAGTTTTAAGAGCTTAAGGAAACATCCCCAAACATGTTAGTTTTATTGAGACAAACCTGGTTTTTAGCACCCTGTAGTTGTGTGTCCCAGGAGAATATTTTAGGGCAGATTTTCTGTTCTGTGTTCTTTGGTAGGGGATCTAGAAAGTGTTCTTGTTTGCTCCTTTAATTTCCATTTTTAAGTTTAGCTAGTGAAACTATAATTATTTTGATCAACCTAGAATATTGCATGTGTTTGCAATCCCTTCTATCTATGAAAATTGGCAGACAGGTTGGATGAATGGATGAATGGATGGATGGATGGATGAAAGTCAGTTCATCTCTTTCTCTGTTTGCCTGCTTGAGCCAGAAACCTGTGGCAGAGGGAGAATAACCAACCAGCTAGTATCAGCATTTGTTTGACCCTTAGCCTATTCCCATCGTCCCAAATACAACTACTCAATTTGTCTAAATTTGTAGTGGGGGAAAGAAGTCACAACTAAATCTTGAGTTTTTAACAATGACTGCAATCAAAATATAGTTTGTATTGTATATTCTTTCCTCCTTTCTAAAATGATTTTTTCCTTACAATTTTAGGTAAAGACTCTTTTCTGACAATATATTTATATTATCAAAATATGTACTTTTGAAATCATTGACCAGAAAGAAACAACAGGTGTGACTCTGAAATATGTGTGTCCATTGAGCACAATAGCCTTTAAGATAGTGTCTTTTGTTTTGTAAAAGATCTTTGGTTTGTAGGGTTGCTATATGCCATTCTTTGAGAAGTGGACTTAAGGGTGGTATGAGTGTGCAGTGATAGTAGAGAGATTGGCATTCATGACCCAGAATGTAAAAAGGGTGTGGTTCATAAGTTCAAGTATTTAGAGCTAGAAGGGGTTTTAGAGACTACTCCCATCATTTTACAAATAAGGTAAATAAAGGTTAAGTAACTTATGCAAAGCTGCAGGTATTAAAAGCAGGATTTGAGCCTAGGTTGTATGACAAATAGTATTCTACTACATCACATTGCTTTAGGAGAGGTTGGCATAGAAGAGCAACTTTATATAAAAATATGCTATATTAGTTCCCTTTATTAGGGGTCTACCACCTCGTAATATGAACATTCTTCTTCTTGGCAAGTATTGCAGTATTTGGAATGGAATGAATAAATAAATGAAAATTATGTTTTAGTCACTTACTATTTGCCAAGCATTGTACCAAGAGCTAAACTATCTTTAGGATATTGACATTTATCTTTGGACCACACTAATAAGTTCTGATACTTAGGTTAAAAAAAAAGCAAGGGGTTAATTTAGGATGGGCAGCTAAGTGGCACAGTGGATAGAGTGCTGGGTCTGGACTCAGGAAGACTCATCTTCCTGAGTTCAAATCTGGCCTCACATACTTACTAGCTGTGTGATTCTAGGCAGGTCACTTCATTCTGTTTGCGTCAGTTTCCTCATCTGTATAATGGACAAGAGAAGGAAATGGCAAACCACTCCAGTATTTTTCCAAGAAAACCCCAAATGGAGTCATGAAGAATCAGACATGACTGAAAATGACTGAACAACAACAATAACAAGAGATTAGGATCGTCTTACTGAAATATAGCTTAAAAGAGTTGATCGTATGTTTTCCTAGGGGGTTGGTGGTTAGTCCTTTGATTTCACTGTCCCTGTGGATTCTATTGCTCTAGGGAACTCCTGGTGAAAGAAATTCCTTCTTTAGTCAGCTCATGCTATGCAATTTAATATCCAGAGAGTTACCTGGGGGGCATTGAGATATTAAGGGATTTGGCCAAAATCATCACGCAACTTATATGTGTCAGATGTGATGTTCAAACTCAAATGTCTACTGATTTGCTCCCCGTCCAATATAACACATGGCTTCTCTAAACAGCAACTAGATGAGAAAAATTCATATGGAAATGCTCGCTATCAACCAGTACAAATAAGAATATTTTATAAGGATGATTAAAAGGGTATTAAAATTTATTCTTTATAATACTAGAATCCTCTGGTACTTAAGTGCTTAATAAGATACATTTAGAAGTGGTCCAAAAAGTAATGGTAATCACTTAGATTTTTTTTCCTTTTTGAGAAAGTTATTTAAGCTCTAGAGAAAAAGATTCCAGTCTTCTTTTTCTCATCACAATATTGCATCAATGGGTATAGGTTATTTATAAATTCATCTGTGGTGTTCATAATGTTCACCATATGTGCCACAATGTATTTAAATATGAAAAATCAAAGCACCATTAGTTTTGAAAGGCCTCAGTTAATTCTGATGGGAGTTTAAAAATCAAACTTCCCCAGGAACAAATTTCCTTTAAATAAATGAATATCAGATATCCTGGTACTTACGTTTATTTTCTGTTCACTAAAATTCATTTTTCAAATCCCTACACCACCATATTTCAAACTATGCCATAATACCTATCTGGAGATTCATTTGTTCTGTAACTTAAGTAAATGAGTCTCCAATCTCATTTTCCTCTCTTTTCTGATAGTAATTAATGCCCTTTCCACCAGAAAAAAAGGGGGGGGGGTAGTAAGACTGCAAAACATCAGGATTTAAATTCCTCAGAATGTGCTAATCAGAAAGTAAATGAGAGTTATTATTTCATTATCATCCATGGAAAATTCCTGCCATTGTCTAGAATGATGTCTGTTCAGCTTACTTAAAGAATCAAATGAGATCTAAAATTAATTTGCATTGCTCAAAGAGGAAATTGGCAATGCTTGTATCAGAAAGCTATCATAATCGAATATGAGTGCCTACCAAATGCCTTTATCACAAAATTCTCATTCCCAGGGCAATCAAACATGTTGGCAAAGCATGCTAACTTGTAATGACTGATTTTTCTCCCATCGTAGATAATGAAAAACTGTACCATTTCAAGACCATATCTGGCTAACAGATGGCTTCTTGATACAATATAGTATTCAGGAATTGAAATAGTTCTTCACAAGTCATGTTTTAGAACATTGAGAAATTCTGTTGTTATGACTATCTTAATTTTAACTTCAAATACTTTCCTGTAAAGCCTTAATGATTTGCACAGTCTTCTTACGCTGCTTCTAACTTAGGCGACATTAGTGAAACTGCCCCTTCTGGGACAGCTTGAAATATTTTCTGTTCAACATTAGGAAACTGCTATTGGCATTTTTTTTTTTGCTGGTGAACAGATTTGTCCATTTCATACAATCCTCTCATCTGTTGTTTCTGCCTCTAGCAAAATGTCTTGCTTTCCTGCTTTCTAAAATTATAATTGTTATGTTCATGCACAAATGAAAGACACCAAAAAGAGTTGTCTCCACAGTCAGTTTCTATCTGTTCTGCCATATTTTTTATTGAAAGTCATTGGGCCTATCATCCCAACAAAACTCAAAAGAATTCTTAATTAACATTCCTTCTTCACACCTATCTTGGTTTCCTATGGAAGGTCAAATAAGTGACTTTTTATAAGGTATGATTTGTACATATATTATTCATTAAATGATTCCTATAATAAAATAGAGATACTTTAAGAAAACCACACTATTCAGATATGATATCCTATTATAATAATTAATTTATTTTGTCTTTATTTATCTTCAGCCCATAAAATTACCCCTGAAGTCCACATTACTTCCAACTTTGCTTCTTTATGGAGTTAATATGAAGCGAAAAGTTAAGAATTCTATCACAATTACTGTAAATCCCAAGTTCGGAAAATTCATAAAATTTAGGCAGAAGTTTGGTTCTCTGTCCTAATTTTCATTAATGTTGAATCAGAATTCAGGCTTTCAGAAATATTTGAGTAAAAAGTCAGCATAGCCTATTAATATGTGTGTTGATAGGCCCTTGGAGGGGAAGTTTGGAAAAGAGCAGACTTTTTTTGGATCTTCTCTCAATCTTTAAAGAAATGGGTACAACAGATGTCTTCATCACAGGTCTTCTACTCCAATGTATCTGAATGGCTGATGGCCATCATCATTGTTTTACTCTTCTCCAGCTGCTTAGCCCTACATTCTTTTTTTTCTCTTTAGTCTAATTGCCCTTTTCCTGGCAATTCTTTCTAGCTCTGCTCCTTCCTCTCTTATGCTAGACCCTGGAAATCTCACCTTGATTCTGAACTACCTCCACAACACCTGACCAAATCCTTCATCCAATCAGAACAGACTTGATGTTGCACCTAATTCGAATGTTTTTGATTCAAGGATGTGTCTGAATGTGACTTGTTTAGACTAAGTGAACAATAAAAATGAGTTTTCATCTTATACTGCTATCAGAGTTTAGAGGCTGAAATGTTTATCACCTGATAAATGTATCAGCGATTAGCATCTTAACATTTAAATTTAAACAAGATGAGACAATTTGATTTATTTCATCAGTACATCCCACCATTACACTCTTTCTCCAATTTTAATATTTGTTTTCCTCAGAAAACCTACTGCAGTGTGTTTGGCAAAGTCTATCGTTCCAAATCCGGAATTGCTCCTCACAATCTTAGGGAAGTCCTAAATATTCTTTTTTTAAATTATTTTATTTTGAACATCATTTTTTGAGTTCCAAATTCTCCCCATCCCTTCTGCCTCTCCCTCATTGATTAAGAAGGCAAGCAATATGTTAGCAATTATATATGTGAAATCATGCAAAATATATTTCCATATTACCCATGTTGCCAAAAGGAAAAAAAAAGAAAAAGCAAGAAACAAAGAAAGTGAATAAAGTATACT